AAATGATCGTTCAGTGGTCTAAAATCGTATCTACTTCCCTCTATCAAAAGCTCTTGATGAGGGCAGTAGATAACAATTGAGAATACTTTTTATTGGTGTTTAATCTTTGATATACATAAAGTAACAACACAATAAAACCTTGAAGTAAAGAAGGGAAGACCAAGAGAAAAAAACTGAAATAAAACAGGAATGACAGAGACACTGCCAGATGACATGAATTCGAGTGAGACCTCTGCACAGTAATGGGACTGTCTCTTATACACATCTAGATGTGTATAAGAGACAGGTGTGTACACATATATAGGCCTATATAAATTCCTATATACATATATATACTGTATATATATATCATAATAATAATAATTATTATTATTATTATCATTATTATAACAATTATAATGATAATAATAATAATTATAGTAAGAAAGAAATTTCTGTTGACCGGCTAGGTAACAAATCCAGAGAAAACGGTAGGGAGCATAATATGGGATAATCATTATGGGGCGGGAAGAAATTGACAGAGAGAGTAGTCTGTTCTCGATGCAATTGTGTTCTTAGTGCACATATAATACGATCTTTGTATACTAATTTGTAATAATAATGACATCTTATAAGGCTCACGTATCCATCTCGGAGAGCTGTTCGCGGCGCCATTTCCACCTAAAAACAGCAGGCTTTTCTGCATTTTCTCATATTTATTTATATTATAGTTTTTTTGGTTTTTTTTTTTACTTTTTTAAATACATAATTATCAACTTTTAGCTAGTGTGTTGAAACAGGCAAAAAATAATTACAAAATCTCCCAGGTGTCATCCATTAATCATCACTCTGTCGCGTTCCCTTATAACTGCTACCTTAGTGTCTCAAACAATGGAATGGGAAACACTTTTGCCCTGCCACACGGGTGCTCAGAGGGTAACAATGGGGAAATTTGTGAAATACACGTTAAATTTTTTTTTCTAAAAAAACAAAATCAATTTTTGCAACAATCTTATAGCTTTACTTGAAAACATTTTCGGTTAAAGACCTCCTTTAAAATCTATAAAAAAATTAATAACTCAAATCAGATTTTTTTGACACATTTAAACTTCCCCAAGTCGACTTTCCCTAACTCGAATAATTTCTAAATTAATCTTATTTTACATGCTAAATTGTTTTCCCATTAAAGATTTGTAAATCAAATTTTATCTAAGCTGTGTTTCCGCAGCAGTTTTTTAATTATTTCCGATAATCTTAAAATTCCCTCTAAATATTTTTTCCCCATCATGCAACATTATGGACAACAATGCAATGTGTTCAACATCAAAAAATCTGTTCTGTACAGGCACCGTCGACGTCGAATGCAGCCGTCTTAGACTTTTTTTTATAATATTTAATTTAAAAAAAATAAAAAAATTAATAAAAAAAATAAAAAAATTACTCACTTTTTATTATGAAGTGTTTGATACTACTAGTTGCCTTATAAACTAACTACCCAAAATAATTCTTTGCATAACCGTGATTTGACATTGGTCAAAAGTTATCTATTTTTGCATTCGCATCTTCATCTGATTCTCATGCAAAAAGTTATCAGAAACTTTGGGTCCTGTTTACCTCAGCGAAAATATCAAAATGGCTGCTTTACGTTAATTAATCGAATAGGTAAATGCTGCGAAAACACAGTCCTATAGTCGAATAATTTTTGAATGCCATTTTGGATTCGACTTCTGCAAGTTTAACTTTTCCTAACATGAAAAAAATCATTCTTTTTTTTTTTACACTAAAATGCAATACAATCACACATCATGACATTAAAGCGAAGTCCACCTACTTCAAAAAAACGTTTAGCTCATGCAAAATCAGCACAATTTGCATGTAGTCAAGCTTTCCCTTGGCTCTCTATTCGCATGCCGAGTTTTCTACAGTATTACCGACCGCACACATTAAATACAAAGGCTAGATTATTTTGGTTTTCAACTTGTCTACTTGGCAATTCTCATTTATAATGTTTTTTAAATAATAATTGGAATGTTTAAATTTTTGTTCCACTTTTTTACTATCATTAAAACTCAATTTCAGTATTAAAACTACACAAACAATGTTTCGATATTCGGCAATTTATTTACATTTTGAAAGTTACAAAAACAGAAAAACAATGTACACTAACGTCTTTACCACCTTCTACACAAAATAGAGAGAGAATTAATTTTAGTGAAATTTATTTTCAGATATTCTGAAATATATTCGCATTTGAAAAGTTTCGAATAAAAGTGATGAGGCCAGTAAAACAGAAAATGATCGTTCAGTGGTCTAAAATCATATCTACTGCCCTCTATCAAAAGCTCTTGATGAGGGCAGTAGATAACAATTGAGAATACTTATTTATTGGTGTTTAATCTTTGATATACATAAAGTAACAACACAATAAAACCTTGAATAAAGAAGGGAAGACCAAGAGAAAAAAACTGGAATAAAACAGGAATGACAGAGACACTGTCAGATGACATGATTCGAGTGAGACCTCTGCACAGTAATGGGATGTTAGTCTAAGAATGATACAGTATTAATTAATTATTAATACCTGTAATTTGTAAATAAAATAATTGTAGCTATTTGTGTACTGGTCATTTGTAGTAATACCTATCCGTGTACTTGCTAGATCTCTGGTTATTGTGTACTTGTCTATCTTGACTTAAACGTAGTAAAAATTCATTCACTACTAATCTATCTCAACTAATTTGTCGCTAGAAATTGATGTACTGTTCCATCTTGACTCAACTGCAGTAAATATCCTTGTACAAAATAGGTAACCTGTCCACTTTGACTAATTTGCTGTAGTTACTTCACATTCTTGAGGACAATTATAGCGGCTAATACATGGTATCTATGAGCTGTAACAGTTTGAAGCCGAATCAGTTACATCAACACCAAATAATCACTAGAAATTCCAAGCAAATCCATTTTCTCTGCAGCTTACTTACACATTCCTTAATGTGAAGTCATCCCTCAAAGTTTGTGAATTTATCCAAGTTATCTTTTGTGTGAGTGTTCACTCTTGTTTGTGCTCTTACTGAAACCTCCTCTTCCGGGATCAAAGTCAGTCCTGTACTCATCTCGAACCTATAAGAGAAGAAATTATTACCTTAATAAATTTAAACCAAGAAATTCTACATTATCCTAAATACAGCAAGGATTGAATTATTTAAATGCATAAAACCTGTTGACCAAAATGTAACATGATTTATCATGGAGTGAATAATTGAAATTACTGTATATGGTAATCATATACTGTCTTGTTAAGAGATGTCACCTGCTATAATCAAGATGCTGTGAGGGATAAAATCTGTAAACTCGGTCTCAAGGGCTTCGCCAGCAAGCCGTTCGACCGTCTTTTGGAAGGCCAACTATTGTTCAGGGCGGCCACTTTTACTATGATGGCTTGGCCTGCTCAGCTCTGTCTATCCTAGTAGGGCCTGGTCTACTCTAGCAAATTCTCTCTTCAAATGTTGCATTAAACTAAAGCATATTTTGGACGGCCTATTTCGTTTTTCTGGCTAAACCCATGCTCGATCTCGATCTGGAAGTGGCCGCTGACTACACCACCTTGTCCTACTGTATATGAGACTGTATGCTCCTTACAGGTAATGTGTAAACAGTCCCAGTCATTCAATTCAATTCAATGATGATATTATAATGATGGTGATAAAGATGATTATGATGATGTGGTCTCATTTTTTACAGAAGTCTCATTTTTGTGATTTCTAAGTGCAATTTCTGCAATTGTTTTCTACTTTGTAAATAATTTTAAATTTAAAATGATTCTTTTTATAGTTTTTAATTTGATTTTTAAATTATTGCAACCTATTGAATCTGTAATTTTTAATTTGTAAATTATATTTAAATAATGAATTAATATTAATAATCTTTAATTATTAAATAAATTTAAAGTAATGATTTTAATAATTATAAATTGCAATTAAATTGTGTAATAGCCAAAAGCATTGTTATGCTGTTGGCTCATTCTGATTCATATGTCACAATTTCATACTTGTTTTTTTTTTTTGTTTTTTTTTTTTGTGATGTTCATATTTTTATTATGATTGCAAGAATTTTATTGCTGGACTTCCTTACACTTTTTACATTGTTGACTTGTGATTGTTTTAATTGCTTTTTTAACTGTTTTTTTTTTAATGTTTCTTATTGTATGATTGTAATCTCACAGGTTTACCCTCTTGAATTGATGCGAGTCTGTTTTTTATATCGAAATAAAGACAATATACTATATATTATGTTACACTTGCCTGTCCTCCGCTTTTGCCTCGGCCGTATTGTCTACCTTCAGTAAATCCGGCATCCCAGTCAGTCCTTACAATCCTGTCATCTAAACGTGTTCCATTGATGTACCTTAGAGCATTTTCAGCATGAAGGCGTGTGTAATATCTGGTATTTTGTATTAAGCTTAAAGAAGCGTAATTCAATATTTGACATGCAAACTGAAGACTAGAAATAATCATTTTAGAAAATACGTATTGGGAATATCACTTTTTAAAATTACTTTTTCTTTCTGACGTCTCATGTCCTTTTGCCGAAAGCACAGTTCACAATTTTCTCACTCACAGGCATAAATTCAGATTTGGGAAAACTGCAGTTTTCTATCATAACAATTAAAAAAAAATAAATAAAAGAAATAAAATAACAACTGTTTTGGTATTTCAATAAGCAATTGCATACATAGGTCTATGTAGGCATAATGTTTTGAAGTTTAGGTTCAGACTCGGATTAATGTTGGCTCAGAACAATATTTCATTATTAAATTTTAAATAGCTTGAAAGAATGCATCCACTTATAAAAGGTAACCTCTGATTTATGGTGGTATGGTGGTAAGAGGTAAGTTGTACAGTGATGTGAAATAGTATGAGCATTTTAGAGGCAATGATTAAGAATGATCATGTCTTGGGCTTTAGCCCTCAGGTGGGCAAAGTCAGGCTCACAGGCTACATGTGATCCAACAGCAATTACAACCCTATATGTGCGGCCCACTTACCAATTTTGTTTTTGTGTCCAGGTGGGACACCAGTAATCCATAAAAAGTAACTGAGCATGAGCCTGTGTAAAAAAGCAGTTTATGAAGTTTTTTTCTGGAAATGTCAAAGTTTGGGTGTGGCACTCCAACGCATTTTTATGCCCAACCCTGGTTAGGGCACATAGAAAATATTATTAGATTATCACTCTTTTTTTTTTTTATGTGATGAGGGCGGGCAGTGTTTTTCTTTTTTCAAATTGGAACAATAGAATATTGGTTTTTTTTTTATTGATGATGGCGGGGTTGATTTTATTTGGCAAGAAATTGTATATATGTGTGTATATAT